ATCTCTCTTTTCAGTGCTGTTAAGAGTTTGTTTTATGTATTTTGGAGCCCTGTCGTTGGGTGCGTAAATATTTATTATACTTAGGTTCTCCTGGTGTACTGACCCTTTAATCCTTATATAGTGTCCTTCCTTATCCTTTGAGGTGGATTTTACTTTAAAGTCTATTTTGCCAGAGATAATTATTGCCATTCCTGCTCTTTTTTGAGTGTTTTTTGCTTGATATATTTTTTTCCATCCTTTGAGTTTTAGTTTGTTTCTGTCTTTAAGTCTAAGGTGTGTCTCTTTTAGGCAGCATATAGACAGATCATGTTTTTTTATCCAATCTGCCACTCTGTCTCTTTATTGGTGCATTTAGTCCATTTACATTCAGCGTAATTATCAATAAGTACAAGTTTAGTGCTGTCATTCTGATGTCTTTTTGTTGGTGTTGTTCACTATTTCTTTGTTCCACTTAATTTTCTGTGCTATTTCGTTTTTCTTCATGTAGTTTCTTTTCATCTTTTTCATTGTTGTTGATTTTGTGTTTGCTGAGTCTTTATATTCTTCTATTTTGACTTCTAGGATTGTTAGATTCCTTTGTGGTTACCTTAATGTTTACCCCTATTTTTCTAAGTGTATACCAGACTTTTATTTCTCTATATCGCCTTGACTTCCTCTCCATATGAAAAATCTATGTCTACATTTTTTAAATCCCTTTTTTTTGTTTTAATGTTATCATCTTTTCCATATTGACATCTGTTTCCCTATTTTCAGTGTTTTAGCTTTGATTTATTTTTGTGACTTCCCTATCTTGGTTGATATCTGGTTGCTCTGTCCTGTGTTCTAGTCTTGGGCTGTTATCTGATGTTACTGATTTTCTAACCGGAGGACTGCCTTTAGTATTTCTTGTAATTTTGGTTCATTTTTGTAAATTCCCTAAACTTGTTTATCCAGAAATGCCCTAATTTCGCCATCATATTTGAGAGACAGTTTTGCTGGATATATAATTCTTGGCTAGCAGTTTTCTTCCTTCAAGGCTTTATATATATCATCCCACTGCCTTCTTGCATGCACGGTTTCTGCTGAGTAGTCCGAGCTTAGTCTTATTAACTCTCCTTTGTAGATGACTTTTCGTTTGTCCCTAGCTGCTCTTAAAATTCTCTCTTTATCTTTGCTTTTGGCAAGTTTCATTATAATATGTCTTGGTGACTTTCTTTTGGGATCTACCTTATGTGGGGTTCGATGAGCATCTTGGATAGATATCTCATCATCTTTCACGATATCAGCGAAGTTTTCTGCCAACAAAATCTTCAACAATTCTCTTTGTATTTTCTCTTATCCCCCCGTTCTGGCATTCCAATCACTCATAGGTTATTCCTCTTGATAGAGTCCCACATAATTCTTACAGTTTCTTCATTTTTTTAATCGTTTTATCTAACTTTTGCTCAAATAAATTTGTGTCAAGTGCTTTATCTTCAATCTCACTAATTCTGACTTCCATTGCCTCAATTCTGCTCCTATCACTTCTATTGAGTTGTCTAATTCTGAAATTTTACTGTTAATCTTCTGGATTTCTGATTGCTGTCTCTCTATGGATTCTTGCAGCCTGTTAAAATTTGTCATTATGCTCTTCTCTAATCTTTTTAATTTCCTCTATTGAGTGTTTTGCATTTTGCTTTATTTCCTTCCTAATTTTTTGAAGAGTTCTGTTTATTAATCTTTTGCATTCTGCCTCTGGTAATTCAAAGAAATTTTCCTCCTCTGGGAAATTTCTAGATTCTTTATTTTGGGAGCTTGCTGAAGCCATCATGGATTGCCTCTTTATGTGATTTGATATTGACTGCTGTCTCCGAGCCATCAATAAGTTATTATATTTATTTCATGTTTGCTTACTGTGTCCTAGCTTCGTTTTGTTTTGATATGCCCAAATAGGCTGCTCGTATGAGCTAGTTTTATTGGCACCTTTGAAGCTCTAATGTCCTTTCACCCCGTGGTTAGATCTGTTACTAGGTATGTGAGCTCAGGAGTCCGCCCACTCCTCCTGTATGGATTCAACTCAAGTGCCCAGGTAGACAGCCACCAAGAGTGTGGTTTCAGCTCTCACCTACAGTCCTAGACAGGCATGGGTGATTGGTGTAGGCACAGGCTCTGGCTGCAGCAGGTGGACACACTCTGAGCAAGGCAGGGGGCTGATGGCCACCCCCAAGTGTCCAGGAGGAAGGTGTGTCCCTGTTCCCTAGAGCACATACGTGGGTGGGTTTTGCAGCCGGACTATGAGCACCCAATGCTGTTGGCTGTAAGGACTGGGGCGGGGGGCGCCTCTTATTCTTGGGCCCCTATTGCAGGTGGCCAGCTGGCATGCGTGGAGCCACCAGTCCTCAGGCCCCTGATGTGGGTAGGTGAAGACCCTGCTTAATGGGCAGAGCAGTGTCAAATGTCATGAACTTGCCACTTCACAGCTGAAACAGTTGTAGTTAGACTTCAGGTATATACCCCACTGTACTGCGGTAATGAGGGTCTACACTGTTGAAATGGGCCCACACAAGTCTCTGCAGGAGGAAAGGCACTCAGAGTCCGTGGATCACATATGCCTGTGCCTAGGCAAAGGAGCTGTGCCCACCCTGGGTTCCTGGCTTAGGGGAGCTGGCAGTTTATTTTTTCCCATTTGTTAATCTGTTCACTCTCCAAGGCCAGGAGAATGCCCCTGGGCATGTTACGGATCCTACTTCCGGCCCAGGGGACTCGGCAATTGCTGAAGCCGGTCTGGGACCCAGTGCAGAGCAGGGAGTGGGGAGGGAAACGGAAGAGAGGTTTTTCCCTGAGTGGGGTGTTTTTGATCCACGCGGTAGGCCATACGCAAGTACTTATCTTTCGCCGTTCCAGGGTTGCTTCTCACTGGTTCTGGGTGGCCATGTAGAATCTCTCGTGCTGGGTCTCTCCCAGTGTGGAAAACCAGCCTCCCGAGGACTGCTACTTGCCTGCATCACCACTCACCCACGAGCTGATCCTGCCTGAAGGGCTCAGGGTCTCGCTGGGTCAGGTCTGGCAACTCCTCGCTGCTTCTGAACCATCTCTCCCTCCCCCTGCCACTCAGTCCAGTTCCTCAACTTTGCCTTAGATGTTCAAGGTTCCCACACTGTCACATATAATTGATTCACTTGTTTTTTCGGGTCTTTGTTGAAAGAGGGTCCACCAGAAGCGTCTGACTACTCCACCATCTTGGCTCCGCCTCTCGTTGTTTCTTTATTTCACTGAACAAAAGTAATGTCCATCTTTGTAGGTATTCTATTTGTCTTCTAGATCTATGCAGAGTTATATATTTAAGACAAGTTTTTCTGTCTACTGTTAGAATCCAGCTCCTACTTGAGAACAGCAATTAGAAGAAATAATATCTATTCAAAGATAAACTGTTGGCTTTTCCAATTTTTTTTATAATAATAATATTTTATTGTTTTCAGTGAAGGTTTATACAGCAGTTTAGGTTCCCATTCTACAACTTCTACACAAGTTGTTCAGTGACATTGGCTGTTGGTTTTTCTTTTTAATCTTCATATTCCTAATCAAGATTATGCTATCTATATGGTTGATATGAGTTGGGATTGACTCGACGGCAATGGGTTTGGTTTTTTTTTTAAACTGTTACTTTTTTTTATCTTGACAACTTCTCTTCCCTTAAAAAATGTAGGTATATGCCTTAATGTATAATTCAATGTCTTGATGTATGAAGTCCAAGTTTTATTATTTCCTAAAATATAAATCAGTGCATTATGAAAGCTTTAAATTCTGTATGGTGGGTAATATTTCATCTGCAGAATGAACAAAAACTAGCTGAAGTAAGGATTTAAAAATTACCCTTGGCAAAATGATACCTATTATGAAATAGATTTATAAAACTTAAAAAGCTTATCTGAATATACTGCATATTATCTGTGACTTGTAATTGAACATAAATAAAATATTACATATTTCTAACAAAACTGTGTAGACAGAAAAAAAAATGTTAGAACAAGGAGTCTTTAGGCCACAATAATACCCCTAAGTATTACAGAACATAAAATTGAATAATTTAAGAATTCAATTAAAGTAGGAAACAAAATTATTTAAAACAAGAGCACAGAAGTTGTGCTAAAAAAAAATTGTTTTAAAGGGAGGGAGGACAAGAAAGGTTACGAAAAAGCACTACCAGACTCCTTACCCATTGTTGTTGGTGCTGGAGCTTCCTGATGGTATTTTCAGCTTGCTCCAGCTTAGCACTGGCCTCATCACTCTGCTGTTTGATGGTGGCCAACTCCCGTTTTATGAGGTAGTTTTCCTCAGCCTCCTGGGCTCTTGTCACTTGTCCCTTAGGACATAATTTTTGTGTGCGTAAAGCAATTTATGATAGATTCAAAAAAGACTGCCTTTGTCAGGTTTAGTTATTTACTTTGACATGTTAAAAAAAATCACATCTGAGAGAAGAATAGCCTAGGCAATTATTAGCTAGCAGCTCGTTATTGCTGTGCAAATTTTGGGAAACTAAATAAAAAATTCATCTGACAATTTTAAGAACAACTCTTTCAGCCAATAAAAATTCAATTCATGCAATATTACTGAGTTGTACATGCAGGACTAAATTTTTCAATGAAAGTAGTTAATTTCACAGAATCCACTGATTACCATTTGAAATAAATACTTTAAAATACGGTTAGCTTTAAAACGTGCAAAAGGTGATTATTTTAAAAAACCAAGATAATACACTGCTATCAAGAATTAAGTACACCCACATATACACCCAAAAAAATTATTTCTAGAAAAATGCATGTAAATTTGCATGCATTAAAATATGAATTTCTAGGTTTAGGACTTTCCTTAGAAGTAAAGTTAGAGGAAATGCTAAAAAATAAAACTATACCTGTATCAATCTATCTGCCAAGGAAGCACTTTCCTACAAAAGGAAAAATTCAGATAGAAATATAAGAGAAAGAAATAAAATAAAAGTGATAAAATTAGGAATAAAGAAGGAAAGGACACCCAAATTCCACCTACTTTTCATTGCTAATTAAAATGGACATCTAAATTTCAAATCTATTTCTTACTGAATAGGTTTTTATTCTTCAACTTTAAGAAGAATATATCCAAAGAAGTAAAGACTGCAAAAAAAATCATATGTTTATAGAAGAAATCAAACACAAATTCCAAGTCGTTTTTCATTACTTGGGGCAAAATATTTTCTTTTTAAAGTATACATTTAAGTATTTTTAGAGTCAACCATATTGTCAAACCACCTGACATGGAATGGAAGGAAATGAAAGGGAGAAGGAATTTGAGTAAGCATTTCCACTTATGAAGTATGACAGCAATTTGTGCAACAGCAACTTCCAAAGAAGCAAAGCAAGGAAAATATGACAAATGAAATGTACCACACAAAAGTTAATGAACTCCATTTAATAAATTCTACCAATAATTGAATAAGTTAAATTTCTGGGTTATAGAATTTAATTGATACCTAAGTATTTATAGAATTCTAAGCGCTAAAGGACGTACCTAGGCCGTGTAAGCCAGTAAAAAGGTAGAATAAAAATCCAAACAAAACACTTTGTATGGCACTTTATCATTCTGAAGGTTCAGTGAGATAAAAATGCCTTCTCTGAAAATGTCTCACTCACTATAGACCACCTAAGAAGATCTGTATTTTACTTTTAAGTGGGTATCTAATGAAAAAAACAAAACAAAGAAAACCCAGTATGCAATTAAAACTACTTAAAAACAATTAAGTTCAACCTTTGTGGAGTCACTAAAAGAGTACTATTCTTCTCAAAGAAACTCTAATAAGATAACAGAAATATCATGAAAACTCTTTTAGACTTAATATAAGGTACAGGTAAACTATTATATAACAAAGACAGGCATGTAATAAACATCCTGTCCTTGTTCAGTGTTAGTTAATGTGAAATCATCAATGCTTTTCAAACAGAAGACAAGTCCTACAAACTCCATTCATTAAAATAAACTTCCCTTTATTTATTTCTTCAGAATTGATCCGGAGATTTTCACGGGGGATTTTAAGATACTTGGCAGTATCATGGGTGTACTTTTAAACCCAGTCACCCTCACTTTCGGTAAAAAACACCAAAAGAGTTTATGAGTTTAGATGTTTTTCTTTTAATAATGCAAAACTCTTAAACTACACTTTTATTACTCAATAATTCTTGTAACATCAGAAACATGACTAAAAGACATTACGTCAAAAGTACAATATGAAAAATAATGCAAAATTCCACATTTGCCCTGTTATTCTATATGAAAAAGAGAGGGAGAGATAACAAGTGAATACCAAAATAATTCTAAGAACCAAAAGTTTAAGCACAATTCCCCTACGTTGAAAATCAACAGGATACTGAATTTTTACATAAGTAATCACTCAATTTGACTAAACCTAAAGCAATCCTAGGTCTTAGAAGAATCACTGCCTCATTTAACATGTGGCTACAAAGTCAGGGCCACATTTGGAACTCGTCTTTAAAATGCAGTGTCAGAAAAGATTCCTAACTAGATTAATTCTAAAGAACATAAATATTAGAGATTATATGTAAAGAAATAAGTTACATGAATGTGCTACTGTTAACTCAGTTAAAACCTAAGCCTGAAAATTCACGACTAGTGCTAATTAATCTCTTTTTATTAAGGACAAGTTATTTAGTTAAGGAGTAAGCAGGCAAGCGAAGCAGTCAATACCACAACTTAGGAGATACATGTGCTGTAGTTTTTGAGGCTTTATTTAAAATACACAGAAAAAAAAAATGTATGCAATCAACAGAAGCTTGCATAACTAGTTATTTACTTACTTTTTCTAATGTTTCAATGCGTTGTTTCAAAAGTCTGTTTTCTGTGCGTAACCTCTGCCAACAAAAAAAAAAAGTTTTGTTTGCAAGTATTCCTGAGAGAGAAAAAAACAATTCTAAGTCACAGTCCTTAAACTGTATCACCTTTTATAAATAAAATGGTGAATACTTTATCATCAGTCAAATTCTTAAAGGCTCAGGGTAAGAAATACACGGCAAAGCAAATGATCACATTTATCATTCCAGCTGTGATTGAATTTTAATTATAAGCTAAAGTATGTAAGTCATTATGCACTTATCATAATGACTTCTAACCAGTATTTTCTTATGTCAACTTCCCCATTAGATAGAACTGATTCTATCTTGCCTATCTATCTGTACAGTTTATATATTTTTTTTACTTTTTACTTTCTTGAAAGACGTTTGTTCCTATTGTTGTGTGCCACTGAGTTGATTCCAACTCACAGTGACCTTATAGATCAGAGTAGAATTGCCTCATAGGGTTTCCTAGGCCATAATCTTTACAAGAACAGATCGCCAGGTCTTTTCTCCCATGGAGCCGCTGGTGGGTCTGAACCACTGATCTTGTGGACGGCAGCTGATCACTTAACCATTCTACATAGTTAATATTAAAATGTCTGCTGAGTGAAGAAATAATTGGTCAATGTCTGACTCTCGAACACCTGTCAAATTACTGTTATCAAGTATTAAATCCAAATCATTCTATATAAAAAATAATTTCCTTTTTGCATGTTCTGTCAATATCATTTCTTATTAATCCTCTATTATCCCTTTTAAAATGGAAAACTTAGTTTCAAACCTCGTCTTATCTTTATGCACCAATTTGTTCCAGAGCTCTATCCAGACTTCCTACAACCCTACTTCTAAATTCCTGCTAAATATGTCTTCCTCAGAAAATTCTTCCATCAGTTTAATCCATTATTTTGCCAGTCAAGACTTAATATAGTTTATAACATAAATAAAGTCTCATTTCAAGGAAATGAGAGACCCTATGAATTATTGTATCTTATTAAGTGAACCATAAATGAGACCAAATAAATCTTATATTTGTCACAAAGACATTTTGTAAAATTGGATTTTCTTGTTCTAGTCACTAGAATATATTTAGATGATTTGAAATGGATATTACTTTATGTGTGATTCCAGACTAAAAAATAACAGCTTGAGGAAAAGAAAACGTTCGTCACTTCTTGGTTACCCCTACTACTATGTGCAGCACAGTAGTCTACACAAATAATCAAATATTAAATGCTGTTGTTAAACACTGGGAAGCCAGAGAAACAGTGATGGTTCTCAAAATGGTTTCAACATATTTCACTGAAAAACCATGGAACATTTTGGTTAACCTAAATGATTTAGAAAGCCTAGTTCCAACCCAACAACTGAGTGAATAAAGTTAATATTACCAAGAAATAATTCTAGAACTTAGAATTAAAAACCTTCACCTAGATTTCCTTCCCCATACCACCCTAAAGTCTTTAAATTTTCTGAAATCCATTTTGCTGTAAATAAAAATCTAAGTTGATTTTTCCCAAAACATCTACCCAAATGTCATGGCACTACTTTTTAAATAAATCATCTCTTCCTCATTTATGTGTGATACCACTTCATCAAGAATTGATAAATATACTAACGGACCACAGATACCAAGGCCTCCACCAGACTGAGTCCAGCACAGCTAGATGGTGGCCGGCTACCACCACTGAATACTCTGACCGGGATCACAACAGAGGGCTCTAGACAGAGCTGGAGAAGGATGTAGAAGAAAATTCTAACTTGCAAAAAAAATGACCAGATCTACTGGCCTAAAGGAGACTGGAGAAACCCCAAGAGTATGGCCCCCAGACACCCTTTTAGCTCAGTGGTGAAGTCACCTCCGAGGTTCACCGCTCAGTCGGGGAGTGGACAGCCTCATAAAACAGAACGGGACTAATGAGGCACAGCAGTCCAGGGACAAGGACTAGAAGGCAGAAGGGGACAGGAAGGCTGGTGATAGGGAACCCAAGGTTAAGTAAGGATAGTGTCGATGTGTTGTGAGGTTGTTAACCACTGTCATAGGGCAACATGTGTACTAACTGTTTAATGAAAAATGATTTTGTTCTGTAAACCTTCATCTAAGGTGAGAACAGCAGCACAATTGGAAGAGCGTAGTCAATGTCACTGAACTGTGCATGCAGAAATTTTTGAAATGGTGTGTGTTTGGTTATGTGTGTTTTCACCAAAAAAAAAAGGTTGATAAGTTAGAGGGTTGATATCTTGTGGGGTTGTTAACCAATGTCATAAAACAATATGTGTACTACTGTTTCATGAGAAACTATTTGTTCTGTAAGCTTTCACCTGGAGTACAATAAAAAAAAAAAAAGTTATGTCTAAAAAAAAAAGCCCTGTCCCAGATGGCTTCACTGTA